CCCCCCGTGAGGCGGCGGCGCCGCTGATTGGCTGAGTGGCGCGTCACTCACCGCTAGGGCGGCGCTGATTGGCTCTGGGGGGGTCGTGCCCTGAGGGGGGCGGAGGGGGCGGAAATGGCGCCGGGCCCGGTGCTGAAGACGACACAAAATGGCGGCCGCAGCCCCGCCCCCGCCGCCTGTGCCTCAGTTTCCCTCGTCCTGGCGACATTCGGAGGGGTCCCGTGTCCCCTCCTCAGGGGGATTCCCCCTTGGATCGCCCTCAGGATTCCCCCTGGAAATTCCCTCGGTTCCCTTCAGGAACCCCCCTGGAATTTCCCCTGGATCCCCTCAGGATCCCCCTGGAATTTCCCCTGGATCCCCTCAGGATCCCCCTGGATCTCCTCAAGATCCCCTGGAAATTCCCCTGATTCCTCAGCCTGGAAAAAGGGACCGGGAAAGGGAAAATCCCGAGCCCGATGCCCTCGGAATCTCCTTTTCCACCGGGATTTCCCCTCCTTCAAATCCAAAGGATCCCAAATCCAAGGATCCCGTGCTGGGAATGGAAGGAATTCCCTCAATCCGAGGTTTTCCAGCTGGATCAAAGCCCCTGCCTGGAGTTTTTTTGGGATGAGAGAGGAGAAATATTCCCAAAATCCTGGAATCTCTTCCCATTTGGAGCCCTCCATGCTTTCCTTCCCTTTAAATCCACGATCGGGAGCTGCAAAAATCCCTGGAAATTGAATTTTCCTTCACTTTTAGGGACACAAAAATCCCGCCAGGACAATTTTTCCTTCCTTCCCTGGATTTATCACTTCATTCCCAGCTGGAATCGATGGAAATCCCGGCTGGAATTCCTGCAGGATCCACGGAAAAGGAGCTGTTCCCCTTGTAGCGGGAATTTGGGATCCGGAATTTCCTCTGTGCTGGTTTCAAACCTTTATTTCCGTGGTTTTGTTGGTTTATTTTTTGGATTTGGGAATAAAAAAACCGAGGTGGAAAAGCAGCAACGGGATGGAAAAAGAAACCTGGAAAAGCAAAACGGGGATGGAATCGGCCTCTGCGAATCCTGGGGATTTTTCTGGATGAAAAACCCGGAAAAATTCTGTCAGCCGAGATTTCCTTGGATTTATGGAATTAGCAGCGGGACTGGGACTGGAATAAACGGCTCCGGAGGGATTTTTATCCCGGATTTTCCCTGGATTTTGGCATAAAACTCTGCAATTCGGACAATCCTTGGCTGGATTCAAAAACGTGGAAAACCGACCCCGAATATTCCCAAATCCGTGGATTTGGAGCCTCCAGTTTTGGGATCCATGGATGGAATTCCCAGGATTGATCATCCCAGAGGACAAAACTCTTCTCCTTGGGACGGAATTCCATCGAAATCAGGAATTTCCACACTCAGCTCCGTAAAATTGGCTTTTCCTCCTTTCCCGGTGTTGTTTCTTTCCCAGTTTTTTTGGTCGATTCCGTGGATTTTATCCCAAAAAATGGAGACCAGGATTTATTCCCGCGAGTTTTCCCTCCTGGAAATATTCATGGAGTATTTCCTTCTGGAATTAATCCTTAATTCCCACTGGAAACCTGAGGTTTTATCCCGATTTCCTGGGGAAAAAAAAAAAACAAAACCAGGAAAACGGGAGTCGGAACATCCAGGGACAAAACCCAGGGAATTTCATCCCGGAAAGGACAAAAATCCTTTGGAAAACGGGGAAATTGGGGAGCAGCAGCTGCGATTTCCCGAAGATTCCGGCCTGGCTTTGCCTCCGGGCTCAACAATTCCCAACTTTTCCCTGGGAGCAGCTCCGGGTGGGGGGCGGGAGGAGCCGGATTTGCGGGAAAACCGGGAATTCCTGCTGCTTTTTTGGGGTGCCTCATCCCGGGCTGGGCTGGGATTTGGGGCTGGGGGGGTTGGGGTTTGGGATCGGCCTCTGGAAAAGTGG